ACCACTGGCTCTGTAATGAATAGATGTTCAAAGGGATGACAGTGGGCATGGCCTTATTGCAAAAACCCAGTGTTTGTAATCTTGCATCCAACAGTTCTCTTTCTAGGAATTCACTCTGTCTCTGCCTCTTTCAAGATTAAAATTCAGATCATTTTTTATCCTTTGGTTTTAATTCTTCCTCTGGTCATGTGAACCTTTAACAAAAATAGATTCATGTTTTCCTTTTATGTGGTTCTAACAGTCGTCCACGGTTTTATTCGCTAAGAGTCCCTTTTTCAGGCTGGCGACATAGTATTTTTATGGTCTTTTGTCTCCCTGTTCAGTTCAGCAAATCTGGCTTGTGGTCAATGCTCATCTTCTCCATGCGAAAGTTAAACACGGACGCAAGGCTCTTATGGGCTGGAGAGGAATCCTGTCTTGAGGACAAGTGAATATGTGTGGGAAAAGCCACTGACTTGAAGCCAAGCAGTAATGAGCATGTACGTGTCACTCAAGATGTAGTCCCGGTCATCTAGACAGACCACAGGCAGAGAATAACCAGCACCCACTGCAGTACCTGGAATATAGTGGGTGCCTCGAATGGTAGTCAACACGGTATTTAATTCCAGCAAATGGCTGCGTCAGAACAGGCGAGGCCTGCACCTCGTGGGGAGGGGCGGTCAGCAGATCCTCACACTGACAACAAGCGCAGAGAAGCTGAGTTAAAAGGAATCCGTGAGAGCCTGTGCAGCTGAGGACTTGACAGGTCTGGGAGGGCAGGCATCTCGTCCTGAGAAGTGCTACTCTAGCCAGGATCGGAAGGAGTCATCACCAGGGGGAGAAGGAAGGGAAGAGAGTCCCCCCACCCCCAGAGGGCACCATAGGAGGGGGCAACGGGAACAGGATGGAGAAGAGCAGAGTGTGCCTGGGGCGGGGACGCTCCAGGCCAATTTGCTGGCCTTGGCGTATTACGGGATTTAGTCTGGAGCCAAGTGCAGCGGGAAGCTACTGAGCAGTGTTGAGTGGGGATGATAAGGTCACCCTTGCACTGTGAAAGGGTCCCTGGCTGCCGTGGGCCAAATGCGTGGGGGAAGGGCCAGAGGAGACGGTGGCAGTCAGGGAGGCTGGTGGGCAGTGCGGGGTGGCAGACTCTCACAGATGTGTAAGTGTGCCTGTTAGGAATGCGTGTCTGCATTTGGCCTCAAAATAATCTATCGGACCTGGGGGTTTAGGTGAAACAAGTTTACCCGTGACTCAATAATTGTTGGTGCTGGCTAATGAGAGCTTGCATGTCCATTAAATTATTCCCTTTGCTTTGTGTATATTTGAAGTTTTTCACAATAAGTTTTTTTTTTAAACTATTACAACAGTCCAGTGGTAGATGATGGTGGTAGCAGTCATGGTGCAGGGAAGAGGTTTGGTTTGAGAGATAATTGGGAGGTAGAGTCACAAAATCCGAAGGAACTAACAGATCCAAGTTGCTCAGGTGTCATGTGGAATCACAGGTTTTTACATACGAGTCACTACCTCAAAACAGTGATTTGCTTTAAATTGTCAACTGTTTGCAATTTCTTACTATTATGTAATTATTAATGTAATTTACTTGTGATTCCTTGGGAAAAATGTACAGTCCAGCATCCTAGTGGCACAGAACCACCTGGTCCTGAAGAAGTGCTGCTCCCTCCCCGGGGCTGGGGTCCGTTTACATCACTGTAGTCCTGTATGTGGCCAGAGAGATTAACCAAAATTAACAAAATGAAACGAGGGCTCTAAGCTTTATTTCTTAAATCAGAGACGTGTGCAAACACTTATCCAGAGACATGCAAGCAGAGGGGATTATTCAGTGGTGTCAGACAGCCACTAACCCTAACTGCAAAGAAATTTAAGGACGTAGAAAGTATTGTATGTTGTTAAAAAAAAAAGTGAAGTTTACACAACAGAGTATATATTACTATCTGAGTTTTGGTTTTCCTTGGGGGAGATGCTAACCAGTCGTTCATGCAAAGTCACGGGTAAGGATTCAGGCGCCACCTGGACATGCCTTGCATTATAGGCAGCAAGTGCCACCTGTGAAAACTGTAGGATTTATCACATCTTAAAAGTGGCGTCTCCTCTGATGTTCCATGAGTGTCCTGGTACGTAAGGATGGTGGGTTCTACTTTTTCCTTTCAATAAATACAGAACTCATAAGCGCCAGGCAGTGTATATGCTTAGGGTCATCTGTGATCCCTGCCCCAGAGCTTACCACTGGGCCCGGCAGATAACAAATGAAACTGCCCCAAAATGATACCGAAACCACTGAAGATGGCGCTGGGCTGCTGCACCTGGCTGCTGGCATTCAGGAGTGTGTGCTTGGGAGAACCTGAAAAATCTGAATTTTGTAACTTGATTTTTTTCTTTTAACGTGTTCATTTTAAACGAGAAATCGGCCAGTGGGACACACTTGGGGAAGGAAACGAAGATGAAACAGAAAAACATGATGAAAGTCTTGTAGGAGATAATTACTGAGATGTGATTAAAAATATTAAAAAAATTAGAGATGCCTAAATATGGATTAGTAAGTAAATTATGACATGTGCATACTCAGAGACATTGCAGATTTGATTCCAGACCACTGTACGAGAGTGAATATCGCGATAAAGTGAGTCACGTAAATGGAGACTGAACGCTGACCAGAGGGCTGTGTCTTGCAGGTGCCATGGACATAGCTTTGGGGTCTGGTGCCACTGGGGTCTTCACCAATTCTTCCTGGCTGTGGAACAAACTATTTGAGGTAGGAATGATGCATAGAGACCTAAATGAAGGAGATGATTTAATTCTTCTAGCCTTGGAATGCTTCATTTTTTTCAACCCTGTGTTTGTGATTTTTATGTTGTAGACTTGCCTTCGAAATGAAAATGCAGTAAACTCGGTTCAGTGTGGTTTTCTACAAATGTTCCAAAATTACGGGTGTGATGCCACATGCCCCCTCTCCTCCAGGAGCCTCAGAATGAAGGGGAAATGACTTACAAATACTGTGGCCATACTGTCGAGCCCCTGATGTAGAAAAGGTTAAGAGGACAGCTTTTTAAAGGAAGGAATGGCCTTTAAATTGTATACGTGTCATGAGTCAAGTAGGGGAGCCTGGGATCCTCAGCAGGCAGTAAGAAGGACACCTTTGTGGTTGTCTGTGCCTCTTTGGAGCCTGTTCCCAGCCAGCCTCTTCCAAACAGCAGTCTCCCACGTCTGTCATTACACAAAGTAACAAGGTCACCTTGACTTAGGATCTGGCTTTCTGTGGTGCAGTTCCAGGCATGTGTTTCCCCTGCACACCGAGGCCACAAACGTCACAAAGACTGTTTCACCCTAATCAAACCAGCAAAGCTTGTCTGCACTATAGGATACCAGCTTATTAATTTGACTGAGACCAATAATATTAGCTTGATGATTTTAGCAAATGCTCTACAAATTAGTGGGACTGTTTTTACAACATCCTTCGTTCGTTTATAATTCACAAGAAAATCTTTTGATTAACTGGAATGACTCTGGAATCTGTTGTGTAGCTTCACTGTTTGTTCTCCAGGCCAGCATTGAGACGGGAGACCGTGTCTGGAGGATGCCTCTCTTTGAACATTACACAAAACAGGTCATAGACTGCCAGCTTGCTGATGTTAATAACATTGGGAAATACAGGTATGTGGAGTGGGCTATAAAAGGACATTTTTACAGTCATCATTGGTTGCCAAAATGACTGTTTTCAATTTTAAACCCTTTTCACAAAATGTTCAGCTATCCAGATTTCCTTATGCCGAAGTGCTCGTAAGCATTCATTTCTCTTTTATTTTCAAGGTATTTCCCAACTGGTTCACAAAATTTGGCATGTTTTCAAATCTAAAGGTCATTTTAAGCAAAATGTAAGGGAAGGACATGGACAAAATGGTCATTACCAGAGGAAAAAGCATTTATCCTTTACTGCTTAAAGCTATGTCTAAAGATAAATACCCTGAAAGTGATTTCTGGGTTTTCTTAATAGGTCTCATTAACTTTGACTTTGCTCTCTGGTCATAGAAGCCACTTGGCAAGGATGGAGGATCTTAATAAAATGTTTAGTGCACATTTACCTGGGGTTAAATAGTGATTTTTGTCTCTGTCTTTAGATCTGCAGGAGCGTGTACAGCTGCAGCCTTCCTGAAAGAATTTGTGACTCATCCTAAGTGGGCGCATTTAGACATAGCAGGTGTGATGACCAACAAAGATGAGGTTCCATACCTGCGCAAAGGCATGGCTGGGAGGCCCACGAGGACCCTGATCGAGTTTCTGCTTCGGTTCAGTCAAGACAGTGCTTAGTTCAGATGCTCTGAAAGTCCTTCATTCTGTCTTAAATGGGCAAGAGAGCTTCTGAATGCTTTTGAAGGGATAGATAAAAATCTTTTAAGGGAAACAAAGGATGGTATTTAAAAACAGAGCAAAATGAAATTTGTATGCCTTTTTTTTTCATTTTATGCAGAGATTTAGAAAGGTAAAGCTAATATCTTGCTTGACAAAGATTTTTAAGATCCTCTATGAAATGATGACTTTTTAAAAGCTACCGAATCACTTTTCAGAGTATATGTTTGTAACTGAGGAGCAAAACTGTATTTCAGATTTGTGATGCTGGGAATATGAACAAACTAAAAGTTGCTATGCAATTGTCAGAAACAATAAATCCAACTTTTCTGCACTCTCTGCTGTAGCTCTGGTATTTACTTACATATTACCATAAACCCAGTGATGCTATAATGTAACTTGTCTCTTTTGGCTATTTTAGATGAACAAAGTCATTAAGTTGGGGCACAGTGATACAGGTATTTTCTCAATGTTAATAATTTTGGGGCACTCAGTGATGAGCTTTTGATTTTGTGAGGCAGGTACTATTATCCTCATATTACAGATGAAAAAATGAAGCACAAGAGAGGGTTAGCAACATGCCAACGATGTCACCAAGCGAGTAAGTGGGAGAGCAGAAATTGAAGCCCAGGCAGTCTGCCTCCAGAGCTGGCATTCTTAATTATTGTAATGCTTTCTTTCAGTTCAGTGACTTGAATGGATGTGGAATTTATTTGAAATACTGAAATAAGACCACAAAAGGGATAGACTGGGATTTCAAAATTGTAGAATAGATAAACAAGATTACAG